TAGTATACCACGTGTTATTACGTAAGTGGTGGAAAATTTTATTTTTTATGTATTAGTTTTTTAACATAGAATCTCACAACTTGTATGAAGTGTATCATCCCATGTTTCGGGCACATTGAAAAGTTTCTCGTCATTATGACTACCATTGGGAAACAACACCACAAAAATAAAAATGGAAAATGTAATTCAATTTGAAGTATTTTTCTTATTCTAAGCAAAAAAAAAGGAAAAAAAAGAAAAAAAAAAGAAATCTATTAATGTAGCTGACAATGGGAGAAAAAGGTGGGAGAAAAAAAGTAAAGTGTGGAAGGGAAGGTGAGTACGCACCCAAGCCAAGTTGGGTTTTTTAGGAGGTTTTATTTATTTATTTTAATTTTAATTTTATTATTTTGTTATTATCATTAAATAAAGTTAGTGGGTGATTTTTTATTTATTAAAATGTAAATATTTGAAACCATTTTCATTATTTTTTTTAATATTAAAATTATGTGTTTTTCATTAAAATTTAAATTCTTTTGTTTTTTTATTAAAATTTAAGAGTTTTTCATTAAAATAGTGGAGTCATGTTCTTTTGGTCACTCATGATGATCAATAACTTTTGGTCACCTTCGTTAAAATTGACATCAAAAGTCGAAATCAACATATTAAAAATATATTTATATATCCTACATAATAAATGACTATATATTTAATCAGGGTGACCAAGAGAACATTTTTGTGAGTACTCTACGTACTAATGAAGCTATGGACTGCGCATGTACAAAATATGTCACTAAATATGCATCGGTCATATACCGATCGCTACAGCTTCTTGATCACTTCAACATATTCTTACAATGCACTGACAAGAAAATTAGATTAACTTATCTTATGTCTTCATGGATTCCACATCTATGAATATTGCTTTATTGCTGTTGAGCAATTCTTGTATACGCAGATGCTTACATATCTTATAACCTAGGATCTTAATGAAGATTTGTGTAACCATACTAATTTTGGCATAATTTCTTGTTTCCCCAATTGGAAAATTAAAAGTAAATCATGAGTAATATAGTGCTTGTTTGAATGTATTTTTAAAATGACTGAAAGCGCTTTTGAATGAAATATTTTTTGTTCCAAAAGCACTTGAAGTGCTTTCTACAAGAAGCACCAGTTATGTGCTTCTTCCAGGAAGCGCTTTAAGTGTTTTTCCAGAATTTGCTTGCATTTTTACAAAGCATTGTTTAAAAAAATATTTTCACCAAAAACATTTTCAATCATTTTAAAAACACATCCAAATAGGCTCATAATTGACTTAACCTTTTCTAGTGAAATTCCAACTCAACAAAAATATCAAGGACCAAAATTAATTTTATAATAAGCAAGGGCAAATAGACTCTATCAAGAACTCATTAATCTTGGAAATGTGATTAGATAGTAAATAATGTTTCTAGAAACTAGTGCATGCCATTCCCTTCCAACAAAGAAAAAGACAAAGCACAATTTGTTAAATAATTAGGCAGTGAAACCCCACGTCATGCCCTAAATTTTATCCTAATCTGCTTAGAATTGACACCCGGCCTTAAATAAAAGTAAAAGACAAAGCAAAGGTTAGTAGAATAATTAAGGAACCCACATGATCAGATCTTTCTAGCTTTTAGCACGTACATTCTTAGCTGTTAAACAAGTGCAAGATGTTTCACATACTTTCTTTGATTATCCGTACTAAACACGGATTAATGTTGTCTAGAAATGATTAATCATAGAAATCTGATGCGATATAGTGACGAAGAAACATATGAATATTTCGTGCATTTAAGGTTGGTGGCTGTGTTATGAATAGTAACAAATAAAAGCAAAGGAGATTCTGTGGTGCCATATTTGATGAATGACATAGATTAGCCTCTTTTGATTGATGTTTGTCTTTGTTTCTAGGAATTAAAAGTCAAGCATGGACTGTTCAAAGCCACTCCAATTTCCAAACATTAAGTGGCAAAAGGGTTTGTAGTGTTTGTATGGTGCTCAAGGTCATGTTGTTCTCACTCTTTTTATCAAAGGGGAGGGGAGATTCGAAACAAATTGCATTGTGTCAAATCATGTTTACTTCTTCTCTTTTTATAAAAAATAAAAATAAAAATAGAGGGAGATTGAATTTGAGAACGTTTCCAACATTAGAGAAAGATGCCAATTAAAGACTAAGAGCTAGTTATGGTTAAGGAAACAACCCTGTTGAGGATGCAATCAAAACAAGTTGCAATTGGTCAATTTGCCTATAAGGCTCGTGATCGGGAACGCATATAAGCAAAATTTATACTTTCCTTCGAATAAGAGAATTATATATTTATGAATAAAAATACATAAACAGATAACTTATGCAGGGTACAATCTATTTTAGAATGCTTTTATAAGCATTATAAACATAGATAATAGAGTACTTTAAATGCTTTCGGAACAACTCGTATTATATATTTCTTTATGAAGTAGTTTTTAGTGTTGTTTTTTGAGAAAGTGCATCATGCAAAAGTACTCAAAGGAAGGTTTCAAAGATTTCTTATCTTATATTATATTTTTTAATGTCCACTAAGATTTTAAAGAAACTAACAGGTTTCAAAGATTTTTGTTTCTTTTCATTTTTTTTGGTTTTCTATAGAGTTTCAACGATTTTAACCTTATATTTTCAACGAAACTAACAAGTAGCGAGTAAAGTTGTAAAGAAATTAACAAGTAACAAATCATTGTGACTCTTGGTGTTCCAGTTATATAAAACATTTACCTAGACTTTGTATTCATCGAATATGAGTTAGAGTTATAATTTGAGCATTACTAATCCAAATGGTGAACCAAGGTTACCAACGTCTAGTAGCCTATGAGTTACAATTTGATACTAGATTAATACTATCACATTATATAATAGTACATATGAGTGAATTTAGAACACCATTATTATGGTCAACACGAAACATTTCTGCGCGCATGCGCGTTGGTAACGAATTTATTTTACCTACTAAATTTTTGCGAAATACGAAAGAACTTGTAGTTTAGTTGGCTTAAATCATTCACTTTTATGCCGGTAGTTTCGGTTTCAATTCTTCCCTCCCACTATCACTTCAGATTGAAGAATAAACAAATAATAATTAAAACTTCCCCAAAATAGTGTTTATTTGTCTCATAATCCATCATCTTTCTTGTGTAAAGATCACCTATTTTCACAACATCAGCCTCACCCACAAGGCAATGTTACAAGTTTACAACATAAGAACTCCATGCTGCGTATGGTCTATAAAGCACGAGAAATTTTTGATTGTGACCAGAACACGAGTAGTACTTCATGTGTTTTTATATAAGTGGTGAAATATTTTATTTTTTAAGTTATTAACTTTTTAACACACATATCTCACAATTTGTATAGTGACAGGTAGTGTACCATTTCGTGTTCTTGTCACATTGAAAAATCTTCCCATAAAACACTATCATTCCAAAAAAAATATTAGAAAATAATAAAAAGTACCACGTGTCCCCTGATGACGTTCCAAAGTCATCAATACCTTGAGACTTATAATACCCACAATACCCAAAATGGCATCATCAAATTAATATTTAATTCCTGCTTTAGAGTGATTACTTGGAACAAGCTATAAAATATCGAGGATATCGGAAATATCGATAGTCCAAAAACAAAAAAATTTCGATGGAAATATCAGGATATTATCGATATCGATAAAAATTGAATAAAAACCACGGAAATTGTAAGAAAAACTTAGAAATTTTTATTGAAACTTTGCATGATGTTTATTTAGTCAATTATCTATTAGTTTATCACAAAAAATTAGAAGGAAATGCATTGCATGATAGATATAACTGATTTAAGTTGATTATATAGTGAGCTGGCAAACATTATGAGTGTAGACAATATGTAGTAATTAATGAAAAAAGTTTAAACACACTATAATCATTTATATATAATGAATTAGTACAATATTTTACACTTTATACATTGCATGGTAAGATACATGGTGACTTAGCAAGGTCTAAAATATCGATGATATCGGAAATATCAGTAGTCCAAAAAAATATCGGTAGTCCAAAAACACGGAAATTTCAATAGAAATATCAGGATATTATGGATATTTTAAACCATGCTTGGAACATTCTCCTTAAGAAGGAAGCAATTCCAACACCTGGTCAAACCACATTGGTCCTCTAGTAATTTTCAAGTTTAAAAATTCCACCACCCACTTAATTGTGATTTAATATTTATCAGGCATGCTTTAGTATGCTAATGAGCTACTAGTTCTTCTTGTACAAATGCATAATCTCTGTGTACGTGGCCTCAATCCATGGAATTCCTATTTCTCTTTTGTCGCACTTTAGCATCCAATGATTTATTAAACTTATCGTTTTAGATCCTTGCTAGAATATGTCACCCAATGCAATAGCATATGGATATTGTTATTCACATTTATTTTTACTTCTTACATATTTTTGTTATATTTGATTATTGATCTTCTCCAAATCAAAAGATCTCGATGACTAAAAATTAAGAAAGTATTTAAAAAGTAAAATTGAGTATGGATAATAACACTACTCTAACATAATTCTGACTTTCTAAAATGTCCTTGTATGGGCTAAATAATTTTGACCTTCTTGATTGAAGCATTTCAACCACTTGATTGGTATATATTTGGGGTTGATCATGATGTTAAATCATACATCAATGGTGAAGACACTTAAATGTAATCCATCCCTCCTCCCTATACTAATTTTCCTATGTATTTTATAAAGTATTAGATGTCTAAAGTTCAAATCTCTTTTTAAGTATCTAAGAAAAATAAATGAATAATAAATATGATATTTCTGCGAGATCAGATGACTCGTACCTCAAATAGTGGAAAGCATAGGGAAGATTTCGAAAACGACAGCAAATTGACTGATGGAATTACAAAGTGAGGGCTTATGTTGCAGATATATAAATATGCAAACAAGCACTACAAAAAAATACCACAGCATTTGGAAGACAAAGTCTTTAGATAAAAGCATACCTATTACCTAAGCATAACACAAAAGTTGTGCTAATTAAGCTATCACACATGTATTTGGGGATGATGGCAGGTCAACATATGGGTTGGGGTTTAATAGAAGAGGAGGGTTGGAGAAAGGGTCCTTGGACTGCTGAGGAAGATAGGTTGCTTATTGAGTATGTGAGGGTTCATGGTGAAGGCAGATGGAACTCTGTGGCCAGACTTGCAGGTATGTGACTCCACTCTAGTTACCGTTAGTGTTTGAGCGCTCATGTGTTTATGTACATATATCCATTGAATAACTGAGAATAATAATAATAATGTATATTTTTGGGTTGTATAATTATATAGGACTGAAGAGGAATGGAAAGAGCTGCAGACTGAGGTGGGTAAATTATTTGAGGCCAGACCTTAAGAGGGGGCAAATTACTCCACATGAAGAGAGAATAATAGTAGACCTACATGCAAGATGGGGGAATAGGTAAATATTTGTTGTACTTTGTTTGCTTTGTTTTTAATATTTTAGCTAGTTTTTTTTCTTGTGCTACATATATGAAGGCTTAATTTGTTTTTTGAAAAAACTCAGATGGTCAACCATTGCAAGGAGTTTGCCTGGAAGGACTGATAATGAGATCAAGAACTATTGGAGGACCCATTTTAAGAAAAAAGCAGCCAAAGCGGCTTCTGATGCCTCCGAGAAGGTGAAAACTCGCCTTTTAAGGAGGCAACAGTTTTACCAGCAGCAGCAGCATCAGCAACTCAATCAAGCAGATCTGAAGAAAATCATGGCCTTACTGGATGAAAATGACAACAATAAAATACCATCCTGCTGGCCTCAAGTGAAGCCGGATTCGGAGACTTCTACTACTACTGTATGCCCTCACACAGCTGATCAGGAGCAAGGATTCTTCAGCTCCATGCTACATGGCAATGTGTATGTGCCTGAACCTGCCTCCACTAATGAGGAAAATTTTCTGTGGGATGGTTTGTGGAACTTGGATGATATCCATGGTAATTTTAACCCAACTTCAGCTTGTGCAACAGGAAAAACTAGTTTGCACAGCAACCTGGTGGTTCCCTTCTGTTGAATTTGAGCAGACTTTGATTTTTCAGAAGTGTAACAAGCGGTGTGAATTTTGGGTTGTAAAAAATCATGCAATCCAAGGCTACCTACTTATTTACCATGCTTTTTGCTTTTATTTTAAAATAATGGCCCACCATTTTAACTATAGGAGAATTGTAATTATTTTGGTTGTTGCTTAACTTGTATTGGTACTTGCTAGACAAGCTCTTGGAAATAAAAAACATTAGCTTCTAGTATGAAGTTGCGTAATTTTCATAGAGGTTCCCTTTGTCTCTTCCTCTTCTTTTATGTTTTCATCAGATAAAAGCTTCATCTTGTTTTGATCTTATATTCACAATAAGAGTTCGACTACTTCCATCATACTTTCGTCATCCATTCCAAAATTCAAACCCCCTTTAGGACAAACAACTAACATTTGTATTTTTTAAATATGTGTTGGTAGGATTTAAATTTAAGATCTCTTTCAACGAAATAAAGAGAAATATCTTTAGACTAACAGTTGGTTGGTATTATTCGTAAGTACTTTGAGAAACATGAAAGTCCACACATGATTGCTTGAAATGCTTCTTTACATTAGTATTTTCTTTATTAAACTTTACGGTAGTACTTAGCTTACTCATACCAAGCTAAGCTTTTAGTGACATCTTTGTCCTCACAGTCTTTATGCTAGTTTAAATAAAGGATCATGGAATCAAATTTGCCCACCAATGTGTGTGGAGGAGATGCACAAACTTACCTACCTATAAAACAACGAATAATTGTAAGGCAATCTTGGGATTGGTGGGGTGACGGTTAAAGGCTCTTTGACGGTCAAGTTAGTAAGCAGTTTAAAACTGAAGCAGTGGGCAAGAGAAAAAAAGTATGCATGATTGTGTTATCAGAGATGAACTTAGAAGGGTGTACTTATATACCAATCACAAGAGAAACCTTTTATGATATAGAATTCATACTAAACCGGAAGAATCCCAGATGATATCTAGGAGTAGATATTGCATCCTTTTAGGAGTGTAATTACCTAACGCATGCCAAATCCCTAGATTGTAAGAATCTCCAAGAATATAAGAAACCCAGCTGCTTCCATACTCGATTAGGTTTCCGTATCTTCCGGAATAAGAATGATCAATCTCAGCGAAGTTGAATGAATGACTTCGCCCACTACTTATCCGTTAAATGATGATGGTGGCATCACTGATCTGTCTGTGAAGTTCAATGAGTCTATAGATCTTGAGTTCGTGATTGGATTTCAGAGGTATTCGTATTTCAATATGTCTTACTCCAACCCTAGAAAATCATGGTCCCAACAATTGCTTGTAATTATGTATCTAAAATGGCTGTTCTGATTGAAGATGGATAATTATCCAAAGACCATGACTTATTCATCTACTTAGTGGTTTGTATGGCAGTGATGAACCCTACCATTATACAAGAAGAGCTGGGGGCTCGACCACCTATATTCTACATTTTAAAAGTTTTTCCCAATGCTGAAACTAGATACTCGAAAATCAAAAAGTTGATTTTGGTGCTAGTTGTTACGGCTCGAAAACCCAAGCTATACTTTCGGGCGCACACAGTTATCGTCATGACGCAGTATCCGACATAATCCAAAACGCGTGGCGGTAAAGACGCAAACACTGGTAGATGCAAAGTTTAATCCCATTTCAAAGAACGTAGCAACACATCCAAAAGGAGCGCCTAGGGAAAATGAGCACCAGAAAGACGTACCAGCCTAACTTGCAAGAGAGTTCTTCCAACCACTAATGATCGGGAATGGGTCTTGTCCTCAACACCCATAATGGTTCAACACTAGTGCAACAAATTGCCAATAGTCAAGTACTGTGGACCTAGTGGCCCAATTCCTCCTGTTGTGCACAAACTGGCCCAAATTGGTTCTAGCTTCGCAACTCATGGTTGCGCCTACCTACTCCATGTCTTTCGACCACGCCAATCTTGCACCACAACTCCTAGCCATGCCCGTGCCTGCTCCCCAGATTCTAGTCGCACCTATCTTGCACCACGGCTCCCAACCGTGCCTATCTTGCACCATAAATCCCAGTCGTGCCGATCTTACACAACGATAATCTAGGCTTCAAAGCAGCTTCCTGACTTATACCCCGCAACTCCCAGCAACACCGATCAGGCCTGCAATATTCTAAGCTTCAAAGCATTTAACAACGAAACAAAACACGAGGCTTTAACCAACATCTCCCTGGTTAGTAAAAGACTCAGCGGTGAAAAAGCTTGCAATCTATTTAGATTTCCAACTGACCACCAACCAAGCCGCATGGAGTACATAGGGAAACATCAAAGGATGGAGGAACACTTGGATACTATCCGGGAGTAGCTCACTGCATACAACCCGACCCAAATAACATAAGTTATGATGCCATGATGTGATGACTGACACTAAATTGACCATATAACCCCATCCTGAGATGATGTCACAAGCCAACTTAATGACAAACCCATAGTAAGATATTTATGATGTGCAAGAATTTGAACCAAAACGTTCATTATTAATAAATCCAAAGCAAATTTCAAAGTTCACTTATCAACCTCCCCACTTGGGGACACAAATTATCTAGGGAATTTAATCCCATTATTACCACATCACATCAGAGCATCTAGAAGTTTCGCACAACAATAAACACATAAAAGTGTAGTGTTGTGCATAATTAAAAATGCGATCATGCAATTATTACAATAAAGATAAAACCACAGTAAATTAACCATCACCCTAAATCCAAATAATGAAAGCCTCACTGCCAAGCCCACTCGTCACTCTGGTATTCTCCTTATTCTTGCTATGTCCTGAAAGGGTTGACAAAACAAAATATGAGTAGACTAGTTTTATCACGTCAAAATCATTTGAATATAATAACCCCATTTTGAAATCGTATATATATAGTGAAAACTAATACATAATGTAATGTATAGCAAACAGGTGAATTGGCATCTACCTGATCAACATCTAGTGTCTACTAGCACATTTTAGCCTCTACTAGACAAAAAAATGTACCTGTAATAAATCCTATAGCCGTAGCTAGCTATACAATATGTCTGATAACCATGTGGTGAAAATAAATCACCAATGATCTCAAGATATCATCTAAAGTTAAGATAAGTATAAGCCTCGTCAAAGACTAACATGAGTAATATGCATCATCATAGGCATTATAAATATTTATATAGTAAACAAATTGAAGTTTTCGAAGGGATCCACTCACAGGTAAGCAGAGCATCCCTCGTCAATAGGCTCTTTGCCTAAACTCTTTTTATCCTCTAATAAACCTGTTTTAATAATATAAAGTTAAATTAAGCTTTAATCTACACTCTATGGGAAATCATCCAAAACTACCATTTAGGTAATGAATTTGCACAAACAAAGGGCGCCACGTGATTCAGAACAGCGAAAAACACAAAGATAGGTCACAGGTCCTGCACGCGCTGCCATGCTTCGGCCACTCGCCGTCGCAGTGAGAATTATAGAGTTTAATAGAATATACCTCTTCTGTTACGGAACTCCGTTAGGTTTAAAGGAATAGTGGTCGTCGCCGTCAAATTTAACAGTGACAGCAGCAGTCCGTCGGTGACCGTTGGCGGCAAAGTCGCCGAAAACGGCAGAAGAACATTAAAAAACGATCAAGGGCTTCCCGAGCACGAATTCAATAAAAACGATCAAGGGCTTCCCGAGCACGAATTCAATAAAAAAAAACCATGTCAAATTCATAGAATTTAGTCTCACAAGGTTTAGAGACTTGCCCAAAACCAAATTAGAAGGAGGAGAGGTCAAATCCACCTCGGATTCAACGAGTTTAGCTCGGAGTACCTCGCCGGATTCTCAAAACTAGGTGCACAGAACCACAGAGGTTAAACCTTCAAATTTCAACACAAAATTCACTTGCAAAAAAAAAGAAAATAGTACCTGGGATCGGTTCAGGTCGGTCCGTACACCACAGTCTCAAACTCACCGGAGTTTTACCGGAGAAAAACGTCAAAAACTGCATGAAATACAAAGAGAGTATGCAGGGGTTAAAACGCTTGGTTCAAACTGAAAAACAACTACTAGCTCAATCGCAGTGAGGTAGAAACAACTGCATTTAAGGAATTTCCCATAAATCTCACCTGGGTTAGAGTTTGGAGCTTCGAAGCTCTCGGATTCAATGGTGGGGTGCACCCTGGTGCACTGTCGCTACATGCAAGACCATATTCAGGTTCATTGAGTCTTAGGGATTCCAAATCTGTGGTTATGGGGTTTGATTTGTGGAGGAATCAAAGTGAGAGTAAGGGTGAAACTCTCAGAGCTTAGAGATAGAGTTCGTTAGTTAGAGAGGGACGAAGTGGGTATAATTCCACTTAAAAATGATTTTAAGTATAATTACATATTTGCCCCTCTATTAATTGTAAATTACAAATAAGCGCTCGAGGCTTCGATTCGTGTCACGCTTTCGACATTAAACTAATTAACGCACGAAAAAAAAATGAAACGTTAGAAAGTATAAGCGTTTTAATCTCGAGTCGAGGCTTGATAATTAATTAAGACACCCATTTAAGGGCAAAATAGACATTTCACATGTTTTGAGAATAAAATACAATATTTTAAGGAGCGGATTGTAGTACGAAGTCTCAAGCAGATCGCTGAACAAAACCTCACAAGCTTCAGATTATTTTAGTTGTTAAATAGTCTAGTTTTCCTTAGTTGCACTTACAATAGCGACTTCTATGCTTTCCTGTGGGAGAGTATAAACTAAGTCTCCGACACCCATCTGGGTATGCTCTCCAATGTGAGAGGGTCAACTAATTCCCAGACACCTATCTGGGTATGCTCTCCAGCACGAGAGGGTAAACTAATTCCCCGACACCTATTTGGGTATGCTTTCTTGCGCGAGATGGTAAACTAATTCTCCGACATTCATCTAGGTTTACTTTGCAGAGGGTAAACTATTTTCCCAACACCCATCTAGGTGTGCTCTCCAGAACTAGAAGGTAAAACAAATTCGCTGGCACCCAGCTACCGACATATTACACAGCTTATGAGAGCAGTTACATAAAGTGCAATGTATTCCTTGAATCTTGCCCACGAATTTCCAATTGACTACACACACTTTTTATGTGATTAGTTAGCGATTTTTCTATCCCAGAGACCTTTATCATGTTGTGATGTAGGCCATGTAGCTCAAAGGATCGAAGATTCAAAAACTGGCTAAGCGACACATGGTCAGGAGGTAGCAACTCACGATAGGCTCAGCAGCTTGACGCCCTAAGAAGCCAAGACTCACGACCATAATGGTTACGCAGACTCATTTGCTTCTCTAAAAGCAGCATATCTGACCGTTGGTCTAAAAAGTTTTGAAAAGTCCTCAGTTGGAGCTCACGACCATAGTGGCTACGAAAACTCGTATGCTTCTCTAAAAGAAGCATTCCCTGTTGCCGGTCCTATGGCTAAAATTTTCACAAGACGAAGCCAACATTAGTAGAAAAAATATTCGAGCAACAAAATTTTGCACGACAAAGGAAATCTTATTGCGCAATCTACACTAGCACGACAATTCAGTAAACGGTTGCACAAAAATAACTTCCCAAAAGAAAAAGTAAAAAAACTTGTGTGACGAAGAGTCGTGTCGCGCAAGACACCTTTGCACGACGAAGACATACATTCGTAGCACAAAGAGTAAGGAAAAAGGCGGGGAAGATGAGTTTTTGGTGCCAAAAACTTGTGCGATGAAGATTTTCCTACTACAATCTTGTGTAACAACATCTTGTCGCGCATAGTGCTCTGAAATGACAAATTGAATGTTTCAGCCAATGTGATTAGTGTGGCCTTAGCGCATTGGTCCACGATGTTGGGCACGTAGTTCAAACATTTTCCCCTATGCGGTGGAAATCTTGGTGAGTCATGCCAACGCGTTAAAAGGTGGAGGTTCGAGATTGTTTATCAGTAAGTATTATTAGTTTTCATATTCCATATACACACACACACACTAATTAATTTATGTAATATTTAATATTATGTTTATGTTTATTAAATTGTAAACAAACTATAATTTCGACAACATGAACAAGTCAATGGCCGCCTACTTGAACCGGCTCTTCGCTGACCGCTACAAGCAATGAAAGAGCGACCTCCACAAACAATTTGAGTTGTTTGGTGGTCAGGAGGTTGCTCTCCAGGAGGGTGTCCCGTTGGAGTTGGAGGAGTCTTCAAAGGACTAGGCGTGACTTTGCGGCCATTTTCAGGATGAGACCTATATGGTATGTCTGTTAATAAGTTCATTTTGTGTTATATTTTCGTTAAATATTACAACTAATACGTTCATTTTGTGTATTATTGAAGAAGGCAAAGGCCAACAAGATTAACCGGGAAAAAAAGACTCTTCACCACTATTTGGGTTCGAAGCCTTTCTCATATAGGATGGAGGCGCGATGGCAGTTACTAAATCGTCTCATATTCCAATTTTAAAATGTGACAAATATTAATTTTTTTTTTGCGCACAAACATTTTTCTTATCTTTTTCTTTTCATGAGGGTTCAAAATTCGCCAAGATTGACGTCTTCAAGGACGTTTATGTTCGACCCGGGAATGAGTTAGCCAAGCAGCTATGTGTAAGTATAGCTGAATTCTTATTACTCTCTTACGCTTCCAATTATTTTAAAAATTAATTCAATATTAATTATTATTATTATTTTCTTTCTTTTTGTCACATGCGACGGTGGTGGAGAATAGCCAGTATGTTCTTCAGAAGACTACCTCCCAGCCTTCCTAAGACACCACGATCGAGGTTGTGGATCCGCTCTAGGATGCGGGGTTTCTTATCCTAATAGAGAACTTGGATCAAACCCTTGGTCGGAGGCCTGGGGAGTATTGCCGAAGGATGGGGAATGCCCGACAGCGAGACACTAGGGCCTCTTCATCCAAGCAGTCAAAGGGCGAGGTCACAACATTAATGCAGAAAATGGTTGACCTGAGGAGTAAGCTCGCGTCCACACAGAGTTAAATGTTGTTGATCGTATAGGCCCTCATCTTGTCCGTCTCATCCGTCTCCCACCAAGTGTTGACAATGAAATAATGTTAAAATTACTCCAATTTTGTTGCATGAATGTTTACTAGACGAAACATTTCATTGCGTGATGTCTTGACTAACGCAACTTTTTCATCCCCATAAGTACAATGTAACGATCGGCTTTTGTGTCCTGGTATTTCGCGAGACAAAGCGCTTCGTTCCAATAAGTTTAATGCGACGAACCTTTATTTCATCACATGGTCTTTTGTTGTGCAATGAATTTCATAATTTCGTCGCGTAATGTCTTTTTTCATTGCACGACAAAGTGTCCCTCATCATGAAAACTGTTAAATGTAGGTGTGCATTTGTAATTGAATGGCTTAACTGATTCGATCTTGGTTATAAAGTCCTACATATTTACATCCATATCTTTGAGTCTTGCGTCATTGATATTGAGCAAATCTTGTACACCTATTAGATACAATCGTACAACTTCATATCTGAATTAAGATTTGTGCAATCATACTAATCATGGTTTCATTTCCTCTTTCACCCAAATAAAAACTCAAAGTAATTAGGCTCACTAATACTAATTAGCTTTCTTCCTAGTGAAATTTCAATCCAACAAACAATATCAGGACCCACATGAGCTTTATAAACAGTTGTAATATCGACTCTATTTATAAATAAGTACATAAATGGAGGACAACTAGATACAGATCATGACCAACTCACTAAGTTTTCAAAGGACAACACAATTATATTGTTTCTAGAAACTCTCTTAGGTGAAAAATTAGAGCTTTAGTAACCCCACGTCATGCCCTAAACTCTATCCCAATCTGCTTTGGATGACACGCTAACAAGAAAAGGGTTAGTGGTCTAGTAGAATAATTAAGAGACGCACATCACATTATTCTAGCTTAAGCTGTTTCACTTTTCTTGATTATCCGTACCAAACACGGATTAGCCGTGTCTAGAAATGTTAATTAATCAAAGAATCTGAGATTTTGATTCGGTAGGGTTCACCTGCAACAACGTGATACCTCAGATTGCTTAGTGTTTGCTGAGTTTCGCATCGATGTAAACCAAATTAAGAGCACTTCCACTTATAATTGTCTAGACAATTGGGTAATAGTGAATTATTGCCTTAGTGAACCATGGCAAGTGGTCTAGTAGAAAAGTGCGAACAACAGCGCCTTAAAGAAGAAAAGGGAGGTCCTGGGTTAGATACTTTGTAAGCTGTGGACCTGCTTGATCATGGCTGCAGGTATGGTGAAATTCTCAACTAGCCTCCTCCAGGCTCGGAAGATTTCAAAAAATAATAATTATTATTATTGTCTTAGTGAACAGTAATTGCTAGAGTGCATTTTCACTGCATAAATGAATTGTTTGGGCAATTGGCATTAAAAATTTATTTTTTGAAAGAACTAATAAAAAGATAATATTATGTTTAATTTCAGATTGAATTTTTAACCAATATTGTCGTGCCACATGTCATTATCCGAAATTACAATATTGTGGAAGAGTATGGTTTAGGGGTGGACAAACGGGTTCTGGAACCGCGGGTCGGGGCGGATCCTTGCGGTTTGGGGTGGGGACGGGGTGGGTCCAAAAATTATAAATACAAAATAGGGTGGGGTGGGCGGGTTCTTGGTAAATAACGGGGCGGGCTAGTTCTAAAAATTGGAGAAAACTGGCCCCCGACCCGGACCGTTCTCTACCCTCTAATCTCTATCTTTTTTTTGGTCATAAATACCCTCTAATCTCTATCACCCTCTCTCTCTTATTCTCAGACCCACCCAATTGGGCCAATTCACTTAACTCTCCCCTCACCTCACCTTTTCTCTCTATCCCGACTCCAACTTTGACTCTGACTCTCCTCCCTTGATCTCTCCTCCTTGAATCTCCTTTCTGCTCTCGTCTTAGACCTTAATCTCAAGCCCAGGCTCCCATCTTAGACCTCAATTTCGAGCCTAGACTCCCAAATCATGGCATGCGCGGAAGCCGTCCAGCAGAACAATGTCTCCAACATGCTACAGATGCACTTCTACGAGACCTGTGGCAGTTAACTCGATCTTCGAGTTGTACTAGCTGCTGGCCCGACTTGACCCCTGGAGGGGTCGGCAAACAGCCATGATAAGATGATGTTGGAGGTTTATTTAGGGAAGCAACGTTGCAACGTGGTGGCGTGTGAAGGTTAGACTGGGTAGAGAAGCACCTTTTCCTAACTCTCCATCGTGGCATCCCTAGGTAATTTATGAATTAGGGTTTCTAATTTAGGAAATTAGGGTTTCTAATTTAGGAATTTAGGGTTTTTGA